TTCATGCTTAACTTCTATAAAAGTACTCCAGATTCCGGTTTTTTTCTACAAAAATCAGTTGTACATATATTATTTTCTTGTCCGAACCCTGGAACTTTGAGTCATATCGGAAATATTAAATAGATTGATTAATATTATTAAGATTGTCAAAGATTTATGTTCTCCATCGTGGGCATAACTCTTTATTACATCTTTCACTGAATACATGACATAAACAGTGATGGCGTATGCGCTGTAGAAACGATTTTTAAATATTACCTTAAAAAAATAATAATTCTATGTGCATATATTTGATTTTTGACGGTAAAGGAAGATTTCTCTCGCTGAGTATCTGGCAACACTAGGTGAATTACCGGCTTACCAACATATGTATACATCACTCATTTTGCTCTCCTTCTCTCTCTCTCTCTCTCTCTTTCTCTGGGTCTGAGCTTCATTACCATTATTTACATTTGCATTTATGATGTATGTACCTATCATTTACATATGTTTATAGCTAAATAACATGGTATTTTTGTTTAGTTGCCAATGTTGTTGCCTCTGTCCCTGCGAATGTTGATGACCACCGACAATCAGCTGAAACGAAATGCGAACATTTACTTCTTGGTATTGCTGTTCGCCTGCTCCGATGTCTTGTATGTTTTGTATATAATGTTGTGCCTCTTAAATGGTATTTAACAGTGCATTTGTTGTTGTTGCTGCATTTATTTATTATACACACATATTAAATTCAAACCATTTTTTATATTACAAGAGTAAACATAAATAAACATATGTAAAAGATATGTAAATATACAGCAGATACATACATACTAGTTTACATTTACATTTTCAAACATTCGAGCAATCAGTCATACGCACTTATATGCACATCCATATGTACATATATATGTGTGCCAGCAAGTAGAAGCTCATACGCTAATGAGGGGATTACAATGACGACATAAAGCAACAACATTTTCACATATACCCATTTCACATATCACATGTCACATATGTACATACATACATATGTCCACTACTATAAAATGAATGAATGAAATATATTCTACGCGTGAGTGATAGAGTACTCCAGTACTAATCCAAATAAAATATATGCTCCAATTAGCATTGCGATGCCCCAGAATAGGATCAAACACGTCACCACATCCGGTACTCCATGGAATACCTACGTATAGATATACTGGAGGTTATACTAAATGACAAGTTTCCACAAACCTTATGTGAGTCCTGCAGGGTGGATTAAGTGCTCTCACGAACTGAGCTGCGCATTACTGGTTCGGCAAAATATCTAGAACATATTCCGGTAAAAAAGTGTAGCTGGTTACAGAACTCAGAGGAAAGGATGTGTAAAGCAGACATCGCCCTCTAAAGTGCGATAAGGCGGGAATGAGGCATGCCACGGTTTTTAGACTTCTCTATGGAGATGTAGTTTGGTGGTCAACAAAATTTCATAAAGTGCAGAAGACGGCACTTATGTGTATTAGTCGGGCATTATAAACAACACCAACTGAATCTACGAATGTTCTATTGGACCTACTCCCCATTCACAAAAAGGGGATGAATAGTGTTGCTTGCGCAGCGGTATGGCTCCTTCTACCAGAAAAGATGGAGTAAAGTATAACCATCACCGACTTCACGATCTCTGATAGAAACTAACTGGGTAGGATAATACCAGCAAGTGTAGTCTCTATACATTTTTCATAACAGATTCGGTGGCACAGTCTACCCAATTGAGCTTCAGGTTGGCAATTCTTTTCGTTTGCCCCTATAAATGAGGGTATCAACTGCATCAGCTCAATGAAATGGTACACCCGGAAAATCGTATTCATATATTTTCGGATAGCAAGGCTGCATTAAAAGCCTGCAGGGATTTGCCGCAGATCACCTAACATGATGTTTAAGCAGTTCTCTCCAATATGGGTTCCTTAACACAGTAACGGACCGGTTATTGAGATGGCGGACGAACTTTCAGTGAAGGACGATTCCCTTCCACCTTCGTCATCATTGAAGCATTTCTACATGCCGATCTCAACTTGTAAACTCACTATAGAAATGTTATTCATCAACGAACCAAGATTTAAAATTCTAAACCTGGCCAGCATGGGATAAAAGAAGGCGTAGAGACCTTTGACATACAGGTCTTCTTACAGAATATCTTATTTTTTGTTCTTCTTGAGGTATGTGTTCAGAGAGGTTGGTTGTGTCATCTAAAGACCTCTGCAGAAGTTCAGACAAGAGTTGGAGCATGAAAAATTATGCCACTTCATTTGCGAATGCCCCGAACACCACACATTGATTTGACTTGCGGGCAGGCGTCACTAGGATCTTAAGTGAGCTGATGCTCGGCAACCACTTCAACCCAACCTAACCTATAAAATCTAGTAAAGGTGCTCTACTCCATTGATAAATATTAGGTACCAGTCGAGCTCACCGGCAAAACAGAACTGTCTCATCTTTCCTTTAGCAGCTTCGAATTGGTCTAATGTCACATTACAGAGGTATATGTAAGAGGATATTCCAACGGACCCAATGATCAGCAAATTTTTGCAGGGGAGATGAAATATACACTCGAGTAAAAGTGTAAATAATATTTTACATACATATGTATGTAGATATTAAAATTTGTTGTGGTCATTGGAAAATTGCAGCGAGTTTTTTTGCTTACTTATCTATATACTTAGTATATTTTTAACATATTTATTTACATATGAATGTATGTAAAAGCGAGAAATTGCAATGAGCTCATCAAGCTTACAAAATGACGTTTGTGTATTACTATACTATGTACTATATACATATGGATGTATGTATATGAAGTATTTATAAGGAACATTTTTTATTAATATATTGTATGAATATCATTAAATATCCAATAGGAACTTTAACAAAGAGGTAGCGATAGGGCTTAATGTGTCAAGAACTTTTTCGTTTTCATAAAACTTGTTGCAGGTTTGAGCGCAAATTACCATTGTGAACTACTTATGGGAAGAGAGGTCTCTAACAAATGAACAGAGACATATCTATTACAAAATATTTACTTTCAAATATCGCATCAGTACTTGGGGACTTTTTATAAGCTCCTAATGGAACAGGCAACAGTTGGAAAGTGCACTTTTGTAGGAGTTATTGTATTGCTAACAGGCGATGTTCGACAAACTTTACCGGTAGTCCCCAGGAGAATGCGAGCGAACGAAGTTGAAGCATTCGTGAAGTGATCTCATATATTACTCTCCGAAAAAAATGGGCCATTTGAGAGGAGGTATTACTGCCAGACAACTCTCTTACAAGCAGCTGAAAAACGGATATGGGGACAGAGCTCATAGCCACAAACTAATAATATGCGCGATAAGCCCTCAGTATGGTTATGCATTAGTCACAATTGAAATACTTTTAATATCATTTGAAGGGGTCGAATATTATTTAGTATAAATCCATCGAATTCATGATAAACACCGACAATGTCATTCATAATCTGATAGAGTTCCTAAATACACTAAAAACTCCCGGTCTTCCTTCCCACATATTGAAATTAAGAGTTGGAGCGAAAATTATGTTAATGCGCAAAATTATGAAATGGCACTAGCTTACGAGGCTACCATACAAAAAGGTTGTTTTCAAGGACACTCTATATTTATTCCTGGGTTTCGATCAAAGTATGTGGCGAAATAACCATAAACAAAGCTTTAGGTAAACTTAAGAGAAAGCTGCTTCTTCCATGACCAGTTGTTAGTAGCTTGCTATAAAGTAGCCTCCATCCATCCCACAAAAAAACAAAAAATTATGTCTACAAGGATAAATTGCGATGAATGTAGAACTTCGTGCTCTTAAAAATATATCAGAATTTTTTTTATCTCCCAGTTTAAATTTGATAAAATTTTCTATATTTTAAGTCTTCAAAAAATTTCATTTAATAATTTAAATACTCGTATTACTGTCAATTAAATATCTTAAAAAAACCAATTTAAAACTTTGTTAAATGCCTTTTCTAATTCCATTAGGACGGAGTGCTCTAGAGCTGTTACAAAACTGCATGCCCGATTTACTATAGTTGGAAAACTACGCACGTCTTGAGGAATAAAAATCGTACGTCTTGCAAGCGGATAGTGTGATAAATAAAATCCGTTCGCATAGAAAATATCCCAATATACTTGACCTCAAATATTTAGATTTCCGTATCCATAGCTTTCAGTTAAATATAGGTTTTAATTAAAAGAAATCTATAAAAAATGGAATTTTGAGGAAAACCCACGTCTTCCTTACCTTTGAATTTTTAAATTCTTTTTTCGCAAAAGTAGACACAATCAGTTCTAATTGCATACATTAATTTTCTCTGTGTAAGCTATCGATTATAAATTCTAAAGGTAAGCATACTTTTAGGCGTCTAAATTAAAAAAATAAATATACAAAAAAATTCTGCGCTGCACCAGGGAGTATTTACTGCGCTTTTCTGTGAATTTAAATTCTTAAAATAATAAATAATAATAATATATTTTATAGTTTCTTTCTTGTTTTTTGTTCGAGTAGAATAACAAAATAAATAACAAAAGATTGTTTTTCTCAGTTCTTGTTATTTATATTTTCTATTATAATTTTTTGTTGTTCTTTGTATAATAACATCTTTATTATAACTAAGGTAATGGAATATATTTACATAATAAGCTATGTATTTATGTATTCTAAGCATACAATATTTATCAAATCATAAATGTAAAAAATAAATTTTCAAATTTTTTTTCATAAATTCAAAATTACATAAGTAATATAACATATTCAAAAAGCAAAATTCATATTGAAATTTTAGAAAATCAAGTTTTTAAAATATGAATAGTCCATGTGTAGTTCAAACAAAAAGTATAGGATTTCATATAGCAGCAGTTTAAAAAAAGAAAAAAATTACTTAAAATTACCTGTTATACATATAAGTGATATTAATATATAATGCTTTGTATACATTATTTACATACCAAACTAAATTTAAGTCATTATTATATTTATCTTATTTATGTATTTCTAATAAACAACCAGCCATTTCTTTATTTTATAATTTAAAAAACCTCATTTTCATTTACCATTTTCCATTTTCTATACACGTATTTTGTTAGTAATTTTCCTATGTATACAAATTTTTTAACTAATTATTTTATCTTCTACAATAGTTATTATTTCAGTTAACTTTTCCTTAGGAATCACAAACAGCCTCGGTTGTACTATATCTAGAAGTAGCAAACGGCTGGTGCTCCAAACAACGTCAACCGCCGAAATCCTAGGCATATAGACCCTCAATAACATCGGTATACTGTTTGGCAACAACATTACGTTTTACTTTCAAAGTGGGACCTGAGAAATGTTGAGAAATTAAGTATGTATATATGTATATATGTATGTTTGAACGCTTCTTGGAAAGTAGCTTTTATATTAAACTCACCTAATTCGCCTGTTGGAATGGAGAAGTCATGTGGCAGGATGGTGAATTTCTGTACTTTTTGCGCATTGGAAATTGCGTTTTTGTTGGCACGCTTAATACCGTCTTCAATAGATTTCCAAACCTTTGGGCAAGGGCCGGCATTCAAAATTTCACTCAACGTTTTGTACTCAACACCCAAGCTCTTGACCCAAGTAAGCGATTCGTGTGTTAGTTCATCAAGTGGTGCGCCTGTATCACGATCCATCTCGGTCTAAAAGCGAAAACGAATAAATAATCTTTAAATAACTAAAAAAAAAAGTAATAGTAAAACAAAAACACATACCTTAATCGTCACCAAAACGGTCAAATATTTGCGCTGCTCACCAACCAAGAAAGCATTCGCTATGCCATCCAATTCCTTCTTAATCAAATTCTCGATATGTACGGGTGGTATATTCTCACCACCAGCAGTGATGATGATCTCCTTAGAACGACCTGTGATGTAGACGTAACCTTTGTCATCGATATAACCAACATCACCGGAATGCAACCAACAATCATCATCGAGCGCTTCTTCGGTCTTCTCTTGATTGAAAATGTAGCCCATAAAGACGTGACGACCGCGTAAGCAAAGCTAAAAGAAAACGTTAGTTTTATAGCATGTAAAACTTAAATATTTTGTATTTTATCTTCACTCACCTCGCCATGTCCATTTTCATCCTTGTTAATGACCTTTGTCTCACAGCCAGCCATTGTTTTGCCAATCGAGTTGAGCGGAATTGTATCGGGCAGACACAGCGTGTGACAACCACCGACCTCAGACATACCAAACGCATCCAAAAGCTTCATGTCTAAGCTGAGGAAATATTTTTTGGTTTCAGGCGACATTGGCGCCGCAGCGGTCACGAGTGTAATACACCGATCGAAGCCGAGCGCATACTTAACTTTGGACATTACTAGCCTTTTGGCGAGATTGTAACCGAAACCACCAGGGCCTTTGCTGGGAGGAAAAAAATAAAAGAGGAATCGTTAAACTTCGTAAAAGCTCAAAAGGCGGTTACTTCTTTGACGTGATTAGAGCTCTAAGCCTAAACTTCATTTATCATTATCTGATCTCTAAATTTAAATTGTATATTACAGAACCCATCGCACTTGAGAAGAATTTAGCTGAAAAAACTTTTTTTTGGCTTATTTAATAAAGACGTATTAAATCTAAATTACAAGCTTTTTCGACTAAATAAAGTAAAATTTATAAAAGCAAATGTTTCAGCAGGTCATCCTGGCCCACCAAGATAGAAATAGTTCCAAGTAGACGAAAGAGACGGTTTGTATATGTGTCACACAGTTTTCGTGCCAATTTCTAAGTAATAAGTTTTTAAAGCTTTAATAGTGGCTAGGCTATCTACTTTCTGCTGTCATCTATGTATTACGCGCTGCCGCCTGATGACAGTTCATTTGTCGTTATACTCACCACACCATCACAGCTGATGGGATGGTAATTAAGCGCAATTACTCAATGTTTAAAAGTTAAACAGCCAGTTAAAGGGATAAATGCAGACAACAGTCAGTCGACGGACCAGACAATAAAAAAGGCCGAATGCTACGCCAAACGATCGACGGACACCATTTAAAGCGAGTAAATGACAATAACGTGTTGCTCGTTAATCACCGGTTGCACTCAATAAAGACTTATGTATGTACAAATGCCTGAGTAAGTAGCAGGTGGTTTCTTTACACCAATACACGCGAAAAATATATATATGTATGTATACTGCACAACTTACCCGTGTGTTTCCATATAGTGACGCAGTGTTACACCCTTTGCCCAACTGGCAAGTGCTTTCTTTATGCTACCATTCGACGAGCCAATAGCTACCATACGTTCTTGGAATTTTTCATAGACACGCGGTACACCCATAAATCGTGTAGGACGCGCATCCTGCAATGTCTTCACGAGTGTGCCCTTTAAAGCATCCTTGTCCGCAAAGTAAATACAACCGGCTATGGAAGCCACAGTATAAATATCCACTGTCTGTGCAGCCACATGGGATAGGGGCAGATAAGATACGACTACCTCAGAGCCAGCTGTAACATTGTATAGTGACTTGGTAATTGCGCGCGTATTAAAGACGATATTGTCATGGTTAAGCATTACACCCTTCGGCATGCCCACTGTACCGGACTATGGTGAGGAAAAAGAAAGAGAGAGAAAATTAAGTGATTAGCTTGATATGTAAAGGGAGTTTAAGAGATTAAGAAAGTCACATGCTAAAGTATATTAACATATTTTTATACCATTCATGGGCATACCAATTTATTATTATTTTAATCCAAATCTTTTGTTTAATTAAAAAAAACTCTTATAGAGTCAAGGCTCCAGCTAAGAAGACCAACAATGCGATAATGAAAATAATAAAATAACCCCAGAAAAAAATCAGATCACAGTTAACCGTTGCGGGGAGGTCTAAGAAATAGAAAACCTCAGATCACAGTTGACCCTTGTCAGAGAATGTTAACCCCTCCGGCTGTATTTTGGACATGAAAAAATCCATGCTCATAAAAATCCTTCAGCCATTTGGAAGCGATTTTAAAAAAAATGTCCATTCGTTGAAAAAAAATCATAACACCCACCACTCCAATTTGTGGCGCCAAATATATTTCAAATATATTTCAAATTTGGGATTTGAAGGTTTAGCAGTTTAACATCACACCGTAACTTTGTTCATGAGAGTAATAAGCTTTAGACTTTTTTTTGTTTTTGTATAGTGTCAAACTAAGCAGAACATTGAGGAAATTATATCACTCTTGTTAAGAGGTGTATTTTTCGCTAACTCTCTTTTTCTCTCTAACTCACTAACCTACCAAAAAATTAATTACTTACGGTATACACTAGACAGCAACACTGGTTAATGGCAATATTCTCCAGACGCTGTTTGTACTCATCTTCAACATCAGCCACATTCATTGCCTCGATCTCAGACCACTGGAAGGAAGTTGAAAAATATTATTAGTTTAAGCCTGCCAAAGTTCAAAGTTTGAAACAATTCTAGTTGCACTTACCCTGTAGTAGCCATCCTCCTTCTTCATATAAGGTGCATATGGTTCTTGTATTTGTATGGCCGCCTTCAGATGTGGCAACTTGTCTCTAATCTCTTTAATCTTATCCATTTGCTTGGATTCATCGACCACGACGATTTGTGCACGCGAATTTTCTAAAACATGCAGACAAGCCTCCGCTGAGTTGGTTGTGTAAATACCGGCTATAATACCGCCCGCGTGTATGGCACCCATAGCGGAGTAGAACCATTCGGCGCAGTTAAAGGACAGTACACCCACTGAATGGTGTGGTTGTAGGCCAAGCTTGATAAACGCTTTAGCGACTTGATGCACTTTTTGTTCATATTGCCTGACGCGCAGCACCGGAACAAAGTTGGAAAAAAGAAAAAATGAAAAAATAAAGTAAATAAAATATTAGTAAATCTAACCGGCGACGAATAGTGTGAAAATTTGTCTTCGCCTAATGGTAGTGGAGCGTGAAAATATGGCGACAAATGGTGAAATGGATTTTATGTTGGCACAAATGTTTGAATGGATGGACAGTGGTGATCTAGGCTGTTTGTTGTTGTCGTAGTTGGCACGAATTGCGGATTATGTTGAAAATCGTATCCAGTGGATTCACTTTTTACAGAGTTGGCTATGATGCCAAGTAAAAAAACATTGTGTGTGAAAGTGATTTTTCTTTTTTTACCCGCCAATGGCCAACAGTGGTGCATAGCGATTGATGAATAGGAAATATGAAAGCTTTATTGAAATTAAGGGTAATTTCATGAATTAATTGAAGAAACCAAGTTTATATACGTAAACTTAGGTTTAAAGGAGATTTACTATAGACAGCACTAATCGAATCTTAATTGATTTCATGTTCTTGTTTCAGGATGGACGATTGTTAGGCCCTAAGTTAGGGTTCAAAACGGCGTTATGTTTTAAAAGTATAGTAGAGACGTCATACTCAAGGCCTGAATGTGCTACTACACCCAGGCACAGCTCTCACGATGGGGCTCGTACATTCGGCATATGATAAGCTGTGCGAAAGATCGCTGATGGCATTGACAACAAGGGAAAGGGGAAGATGTGCCTACGAGGCTGTTATATTAGAAACAAGTGTGTTACTCAGTAACATAACTTTACAGGGAGAGTTCTTATAAAGGTATATGTGACGCCAGTTTTTTAAGCAGAGCGCTGAGTGCAAAGTCTGAAGCTTCTTTGATGTAATTAATCAGCTGATAGTGGAATGCGGGAGTTCAGGCGATTGCCTACCACTCTTTACTTAAAAAAAAATCTGATTCTTAAACTGCAGCATAGGAGAGAATGATAGCCTCTCCTCAAAGAGTATGACCACCTGGAAGTTACTCCCGCGAGAGTCGGGTCTTTATACCGGAACGACCCGAATTTTTATCCGGCCAAGGACTTTCACTCCCGCAACATTCCAACAACCTGGAAGCTACAAACAAACGGACTGTAAGGATGAACAGAACTTATTAACGACAACCAGGTTCTTCAGCGGAAGTTATAACTCCTGCTAATTGGAACCAATTAATAAAATAATCAATTATCAAATTATACTCACTTGTACGTTACAGTCTCGTATTCCTTCTTCTCATTTTTTGTACGCAAAGCTGGATAATCTCCATAATTATTAACTGTACGTTTTAAAACCCCTGGAATGGAAATAGGTTCCTCGGCACCCAAACCATCGGTGGCTTTACGAATTTTTACAGCCTCTGTTGGGTCGCTAGTGCGATACGATTCGGAGGGCAATAACCGATTCGGACCCGGACGATTATAGAGTGATTCCCAAGTAGACATAGTGGTGGTAGATTAAGTTTTAGTGAGAGAGAGAAAGATGCAGAAAGCTGGAAGAGAGTAAAGAGAAAATACTGTAAATTATAATAAATCAAAAATTTTCAATGCGTGCATAGAGCAGATGCCAGAAGAAGAGAGCAATTTATCTGCTACAAATAAATTCAATTTTCAATTATTGAATTTACACATGTATGGCTACATACATCATATGTGTGTACAAAAGTATGTGTGTGTGTGTTTTCATAAAGTTTTAAAATAATTGGATGTTAGATTATTGACAAGAGATTTAAGTCCAAATCGAATGATAACCTTTGGCTTATGTCGCGTGATCACATGCATATAACTATATACATATGTATGTATAACGTAGAAATTTATTGCATGTTGATATTAATAGGTACATAGACCAGCCAACTATTAGTGAAACAATCAATTCGTTATTATTATTAATTTTGTTTCTATTTACGAAGTTAGACGCATACACAAGTAGTAACTATCAATTATAAATCACCTTATATTATATTATCGCTTGTGGTATAAAAAAAAAACAGTTAGCGTTTAACACGTTAGAACTGCCTTTTAATTCATATTAATGTGTCAATAGACCAATTGCCCTTCTAAATCAGATTTATTTATATACAAAAGTATAGACGTTATAAATTCACTTTTCTATACATTCTCATGCATAACTGTTAAACAAAGGCAATAAAACAGCTTATCAATGAGTGATTGAATAATTAAACTGTTAAGACTGTTGGATTTAAAGTTGAATAAATTAAATTTAATAGGAGTACACCCTTTATCTTGTTCTTGTTATTTCCAACAAAAATAAGACTGACTGCGTAGTAGTCAACTTCCAAAGTTGCAAAAAAAAGTGTTTTCTTAATGTGGTCGCACCACAACAACAACACTTTATTTTGAGAAATTTTTTTTATAATATATTATTCTCTAAACCAGTTTTTTGCTACGTCACTTCAGAAATTTCTACTAATCACCTACTCTGTATGTAAGGTTACAGACTCTGCCGACATTAAGCTCTCCTCTCTCCCTGTCCATCCCTTTTGCCTAAGCTCCAAAACATATGTGCGTAAATAAATTTCAACTATTTTTAAATTAAAGTATTTAACAGCTTTAAAGTGTGCTCCGCATCAAATTCTTAACAAATTTATTGCTCACAAGCGAATAGGAAGTGGAAGAGAGTGATGGTAGACATGTTTATCTATATAAGAGTTTGTATGTGCATGTGTGGTGTACATATGTATAAATGTAATGTCAACTCAGTGTTGCACCTGCATGAACTACCGTAAACGTGATTGATGAGCGACAAGTTGATATAAAAACATTACAAAAATTACAATGAAGGTACATACGTATCTACAAAATCAAATTTCAACAAAATTAAATTAAATAAATTTTACGAAATGAAAAAATGCAGTAAATTTTGGTAAAAACAATAAATTTAAATCAAACTAAAAAAACTAAATTAAATAAAATAAAATAAAATACAATATAAGAATATCAAATAAAATAATATAAATTAAAAATTAAAAACTTTAATAAAATAAAAATAATAGAAAATTAGTTAAAATAAAAATCAAAAACCTTTAAAAAATGAAATGAAATAAAATAATACAAAAAAATAAGGTCATATTATAATATTTTAAATTAAGTTAAGTAAAATATAATAAATAAAATAAAATAAAATATAATTACTGCGCAATAGAAAAAAATAATACAAAACAAAAAAAATTTGAACTAAAATAAATAAAAGTTATGGAATATAATAATAAAAGAAAATTAAAAACTTAACTAAAAATTAATTTAGAAATAGCAAAAAAAAATATTAAATCAAATTGAAAAATATAAAACAAATTCATATTAAGAAAAAAATTGAATTGAAATAAATACAATAAATTGAGAAAGAAAAAATAAAATGATTTAAAGTAGAAATTTAAAAAATTCAGTATAAAAACAAAAATAAAACGAAACAAAAAAATATAATCTAAAAAATATAAAAATAATAAAATAAAAACAAAAATAATTAGTTAAAATGAAAAAAAATACTATAAAAAAAATTAAATAGAATAATACAATACACATTAAACTAAATTAAAATAAATAAATTGAGAAAGAAAATATAAAAGAGTATAAAATAAAAATTAAAAAATTAGTACAAAAAATAACAAAACAAAGTTGAATTATACAAGCTAAAAAATAAAATACAATAAGTTGAAATAAAAAGATAGAATACTATAAAACAATAATCTGAAAAAGAATGATACAATGAAAATTTAAATTAAGCTTAATTTAATTAAAATAAATAAATTTAGAAAAAAAAAATAAAATAATATCAACTAAAAATTTAAAATAATAAGTATAAAAAATAAAATAAAACAAAATTGAATAAGGAAAAATAAAAATATTAGTAAAATAAAAATTAAATAAAATGATTAACAATAAAAAATAAAAAGTAGAATACTACAATAAAAATGTAGATAAAATTAAATTAAACTAGATGAAATTAATTAAGTAAGAAGAAATAAAATTAAACAATCTAAACTAATAATTAAAAAAGAAAATGATAAACTAAAATAATGCAAATTAAAAATGTAAGATAAATAAGTAAATTAAAAAAATATTAAAATGAATTAAAATAAAAATGATTACAAAAAAAGTAAACAAAAAAATATAAAAATTAAAAAACAAACAAAATAATATAATAAAACGTAAAAGAAATAAGTAAAAAAATAAAAAAAACCTATAAAAATGAATTCAACAATTTAGGAAAGAACAATTAATATAAAGTAATATAAGGTAAATGTGGAAAAGTTTAGCAAAGCGATTAAATTAAGATAAAATAAACATAATCAAAATGGAATGAGAAAAAAGTAAATGAAACAAAATAAAGCAGAAGGTAAGTGCATTAAAATAATTAAATTAAAATGTTCGAGATGTAGAGAAAGCAAACTATAAAGTAACAACACTTTACCAAGCCATTTCGATAAAAGACCGACGAAAGGTTCGTAAACAAATGATTACCAATTTTGGTAAAAAAAAAACAAAGAAAAAATAAAAACCTAAACAAGAAGGTAGGTCACTGAACGTTTGGCAGTTGTTGAGCACAATACTGGTTTGCTATCGCTGCCAGAGAGCTACGTCTTCATACATTCGCGCGCCAACATTTGTTGAATTGTATATTCACATGGTATTTCCCAAACTCCGACTTCCATACGATGTGAAATGCAAACGTCACTATTTTTGTCGTTGTTAAGCAAACAGAGAATTTCTCGGACTCAAAATGAGATAAATTATATATATATATGTATATACTTATATGTCATATATACATATGTTTGTATTCCGTAAAAAATTTAAAAGTTCATAAAGCGCTCTTTGCGAGAGTTAGAGAAAGAGAGTAATTACATGAGTAAATAAAGATTTTTTTTTTGATTCTTTTTTTATTTATTTTTTCAAGCTGATAAGCATATTTTTTAATCTTCAAAAATAGTTAACATCCTCTGCTGCTTTGGACTATGCACTTTGTTAGACTTTTGTCCATTGGGTGCAATAAAGCCATGTGCACTTTAACACTATGCCGCACGCACGCGTTTATATGATGTGTGCACATACACATATACATGCATATATGCGTGCCGCTAAAAATATTTTTATTTGTTAAATGCCAATGTTTGAAGTTAACGACATTATGATAAGCAGAAATTTTATTGTGCAACAAATTTAATTTATAAGCGTTAGCAACAAAATACATGTAGGTATGTATGTACACACGCGCTTGCACACAGTTCAGAGTGTAATGACCATTTTGTTAGTTAGAAATTTTTTTGGTCTATGATGATTTACTTGTTCGCGATAAGCGCATGCGATTAAAAATACACAATAAAGATTTTATTTTTTTAGAAAATGGAATTTTTTAAACTTTGTGATTTTATAATCTCGTTTACAATCTTTTTTTTTTTTTGTTCATTATTGCAATTTTGCTTCAATTTTAGTTTCAAATGTAAATTTAAATGGCATATTTTTCAAGTTGTTTGGTTTTCTTTTTTCAATGTCGTAATTTAAATAATTTTTTACGCTTGTCATGATAACAAGCATAGTTTTTAATATAGAACTAAACTTGGTTAAAAATTATCATAATATATATTTTTTATTCTCTGTAAATAACTAGACGTATACATACTTATATCTAACAATTTACATATGTAAATACTTCATTTTTTCCTTTAACCGTGCATACCCCGAATGATCACTTCAGTGTTAAACAAAATGAGACTAACAAACGTTTGCGCTCAAGCAAGTAACCAATAATAATGCATGTGTCATACAATGGATGTAAAAATAAATACAAAGAAGTATTACAGCGTGGTCTTTACTTGCTCTCCATACTTCTTTGTATTTATTTTTACATCCATTGTGTGACACATGCATTATTATATACATATTTTTCATAGCCTGTATAGGTTAAAAGGAAAATATGCTGACCATGAAAAGGTAGCTAGAGTATGTAAATTTGCTTTAACTATGTTTGTATAAATATGTATGTACATACATATGTAGAGAATTAAAAAAAAAAAAAAATAAGTGTCGTATTCACTAAACTTCGATATTTTAAAATTTATGCTCCACCAATGTCGTACCATGGAATGAAATATATAATTATAAATTTTCCGTCAACGGTATTCAATTATTCAATGTAAATCGCGCGAAAATTAAAGATATTAATTTTTCTAAATATATTTTAAGTATATTTATTTTTGCGATTTATACAAACATTTTATAGTTTTATTATTTTTTTTATAATATTCACAACTTCTTTTCGTACTGTTATTCATTACTTTTATTTTTAAATATACATAATATATATTTTTTAATACTATAAATTTATTGGTATTACTTATTTATTTAATTATAGACCTTTATTCGTTTTTAAAGTTTGTTTATGCATAAGGAAAAACTGTTGAGCTATTTAAATGTAACATTATTTTTTTCTTACTTGCCGGTACAACACATTCATACATACACGTATGTATATGTAAATACAGCCTTTAAATAAATACTACAAATCTTAAGTTGAGTTTAAAGATCAGATGAGTTTTCACATTTTATTAGTAGAAACAATTCAAAGACACACATACACACATATATATATGTAAATGATTCGCACATAGCTCACTAATATTCCATACAACACTCAATGTTTTTTACGTACAAATATAAGTATTAAAAATCTCTTTATCTTCCTTTTCTTGTAAAGCAGGTCTTACAAATTTTCTAACAAACTTTTATTTTATCGAATTCTTCATGTAACACTCTTTTCACCTACCAAAATAGAATCGAAAGTTGTTATAGTTGACCAGCAACCAAGAATTATGTTCAATTCGAAGGTTGACTCGAGAAAGCAAGATAATTACTTTCGGAAAAATTGATCGAGAAAAACGCGAACCGGCAAACGAATACGAACAAACTAGCTCTTACCAGCCACAAATGTATACTGACACCGCTAACTGACCGGAAATATAACAAAACTTCGAATGCCTGCTAACGGCAAATAAAATCTCTTTAGGTGTTCGGGTATATATGTAACTACGTACATATGTATATGACATAAGTAAAATGGGAGAAAAATGTACATTTAGCAGCGACTTCACGATCGGTCAATATGCCAAAAAACTACCTGCTAACAAAACTCAACATATACATATATGTACATACATAAATAAATTTGCCCAGGCATACAAATAATAGACCAGCAGTCAAGCAATCTTCTCTTGCCAATTTCTTCAGGCAATCACACGTTTTTCACGCTCAATTCTCAATAACTTCTCTTACTCACTTACTTATCTACAATATTCACATACATATATTTTAATGCATTGTAGCTGTGTTATAATATATGAGCTGCCTTATCTCTATACTCTTCAGGCAGTGAAGATCATTGCGGCGCTCTTTTATAGCGCTTATACATACATACATAAATTCAAGCATACAAATAAAAACGTGTTAATAAGTATTTCTTATCATCACATTGTTGCACACGTTGTTGTTATTGCTGAAATAATCATTAGTCGCACGCCTGCTCACGCAACAGTGCAAACTTTATGGAGGGCGATCATGAAAAGCAGTTGTGGAGTATGCATGAAGAAAGGGCTAATAAAGACCAACCGAAAATGTTAAAATACTCAAATTTAAGATATGGAGGTTTCAAACAACATATATAGTTGTAGTATGTACATTCATATGTAAAGACAGATAAGAGATTAGCGCGCGTACTTTGCCCTTCCAGATAAGAAAACACGCTAGGCGCATAAAGAATTAGTTATAACAACACATTTTTTACACTGTTGCATGAACACATATAAAATAACCAATAAGTTTTTTTCATTATGTTTTTACAATTGATGTATATATTCTAAAAAGTTTCTTCGAGATTCAGGTAGCTGAAAATCTGAAAAATGTTTATAGTCTTGATACTGCGGCAGTCAATCATGCACAATTTTGCTTTCATCGTGTGGAAAATTTCTATAAATTAAAGAAAATTGTCAAGGGTGACCGTCATACGAGCACTGTTTTGATGGCACAGGAGTAACACATTACACAGAAAACTGTTTGGAACCACTTCTTGATAAACAGAGAAGCTCGATGTATGAGTGCCACATGAGTAAGCGAGAAAAAACTTCGTTGATAGAATTTCCATCTGCGAAGCGCTGCTGTAACGTAACAAAATCGACACTCTTTTGAAGCGAATAATGACTGCTGATGAAAAGTGGATCAGTTATAGCCACGTCAAACGAAAACGGTCGTGGTCGAAGGACAGTGGGTGTGGTATACCGGAGGAAGAATAAATAAAAGAACCATTATATTTATATATAGGATAATAATATTTGTTATGGAAAATAATATCAAAAGATTATACAGTTCCCAGCTTTATAGAAAGCAGGGTTACGTCAAGAGCGAAATCATATGATTAACGACGAAGCTGGTTCGTTTTTGTGGTTTGCCGAAAAAATAATTTGCATAATTGCATGAAACAGCGCACGATTTTGACTATAAAACATTAAAGCCTTGCATTGAAATGTTTTTAATTAATAACAATTAATTAAATATTCAAAAGTTTTTAATTATAAATTAACATTATTTTTTAGCAAAAATTTCTGTAGCTAACAACTATGAGATTTGTTCTCATACAATACGAATGGCAGGAGTAAATAATGTGAAAAACGTGTAAAATTATAATAATTCTAAGGGGCAAAACGGAATTTTAAAAAATGTTATACCGATGTGCGCATTTTTTTGCTGGAAAATTTTTGGCAAATGGATAACTCTATTTTGTGTTTCAAAATTCGAAGCGCCAAAAAACTTCGCAAGCTCGTCGCATTTGCCAAATTTGTAAATGAACATAAGTGTGAGACACTTAAACGAAAATTTTCGACTATATACGCCCACTTTCTCGCGATCAATCGTAGCCTAAATGCCTTAGAATCTCGGGATATCAAGGATCCAAATAGCCAAACGAGACGCATTTAAGAACGGCTCGGGTATATTACACCCCTATTCATTGACGACAGGTTAATTCGGACTTGAATTATCAGCTATTGGAGCGTTTAATGGTTGCAATTCCCAAGAACGGTTCAGCTTTGGCCAATAGGAGGGCAATTTTGTTTCATTAGAGCAACGCCGAGCCATACACATCAATAGTGACTCACCAGAAGCTCCGAGAGCTTGGTTGGGACATTCTTATGCATCCAACCTACAATATAATCTGGACCTATCACCATTACCATTTGTTTCATATCTATGATTGATCTCAGAAGAAGCCTGCCAATAAGCACAAGGGTTTCTATATGAGTGTCTTAATGACATTACCTTAAAAACTTATTGAGCAAAACTGTGGATATTTGATATAAATCGGTTAGTTATAACTATGGCGGAAAAAATGTATATCGAAAGTGATTTAGTATTTGTATTCACTTTGGCATAATTAAATATGAAATGAGAAATAAAAGTGTATTAAAAAATATTAAATAATTAAAATAAGTAAATTAAAGTATGTTATTAATTTGACCCAAACGAAACCGGCGATTTTTTAAGATAAAGTAAATACCTTTTTATAAGTTTTTAATGAACTTTAATAAATTTTGTAATTTTCATTTTGTTGGATGACCTTTCGCTATATTTCCGGCAGCATCATTATTCCACGCTCATAGAACTTCTAGCAAGTGCGACTTTATAGCCTCATCCTTTTCGAAAGTTTTACTATTTAATGAGTTCTGCAAAGATCGAAACAAATGGTAGTATGACGGTGCAAGGCCAGGGCTATATAGTGGATGCATCAAAAGTTCCCAGCCAAGCACTCTCAGTTTTTGGCGAGTGACCAACGATGATTGCGGTCTAGCATTGTACTGGTGGAATATAACACCTTTACGATTGACCAATTCTGGCCGCTTCTCGTTGATGAATGTTTTCAATTGGTCCAGTTGTTTACAGTAGACAACACATTTAATCGTTTCGTTCCTTGGAAGCAGCTCAAAATATATCACACCCTTCCATGACGATCCGGTTTGATCAAAGCTTTCATATCGTCATCATCAACTTCTCTTGGCCGACCGGAACTTGGCTTATCTTTGAGAGAAAAATATCCCGAGCGGAATTTGACAAGCCAACGTCGGCACTGTGTTTCTTGTAAAATCTTATCAGCATGCATATAAATAATGCAAGTTTTCAGCAACCTGCGCTGAATGTTTCCCTTTACGGAAATAATATATTAAAATCGGGCTTTAATTTAAAATTGACGTCCAACAAGCAAATACAAACAAAATTCCGGGAACCTTTTTTCTAAAGCATCCTAAGAGTGACAGCTTATAACTGTCAAAAGAAAAAATTCAATTAAATAGGCATAGGCTTAAGCTGTTGAAAAGAATGATCAACGCCATATACAACACGCAAAAAAAGTGTAAGGTTTGGCAACCCTAGAGCATGCAACATTCAATTGAGAATTTGCGAAGCAACCCGTATTGAAATTTTGGGAACTGTACCGAATTTAGTTCGAAGTTATTAGTAGGTCAGTCTACTCCCGAATTATGCGCCGAATTTCAAGAAAATCGAACTATGAATTCAATTCTTTTCAAATAGTTCAGACCCTGGTCCACTTAGAAAGAATATTAGAGTAGTTTTCCTACTAATCTAAGCAAAAAAGCCATATATGAACAAAATTTAAAGTAGGATTCGTATAAACCTGCCCAAGGACAATGGAAACAATCTGACGAAATTTCAAGTCAATCGGTTTGGTAACTTTCGGAAAGTTTTGGAGATTACTGGATCTTTCCTAAACAAAATTAGATTTTTATATATAAGAATATAGATATTTTGCAAGCGTTTATTGTAATATTGTGCATGATTTATCATGTTTTATTCAAACTGTTAGCATAGTTAAAAAATGGGTTCCAAATAAACTCGATCCTAGCATCCAAAATCATTATTTCACACCAACTCTTGGAAAATTTTTGAATTTTCTTGAAAAAATCTCATTGTAGCTTCAACTTTGTATGGCTAGTGGTTTTTTTCAATATGCTTGATACGAAATTTTTAAGTAGATCTGTAACTGTTCATAAAAATATTCAGTTTAATTCCTTTTTTAATTCTTCGGGTATTTTACAGAATATTTCAATAAGGTCGCAACTCCAATAAATACATTGATTAAATTTTGCAAAATTAAAGTTTCCAAAAAAAGTCAAAAAAGCATTTTTATCTTTTTTAAAAAGTAATTACACTTATCTCAAATACCTTTTCAGCTTGAGCCCACTTAAGCTTGTTTACTGTGTCAAGACTTTGATGCACATACATATGTATTCTAATGATCCGTTTATCTCATAATTCTCATAATCTTTTTAGTCGCTTTGCACGCTCTTGTTTGAAATCGAACCATAATATATTTTCTGTCTTAAAAAATGGCCACATTGTAATTAATTTTTTTTTTAGTTTTTCACTTGAAGTGTGTTAAATTTTAATTTTTTATTAACCTTTTATCGTTCCTTCTTCTTTTAATTTTTTTATTTATTTATGTACACATATATATGTATAGTGCTGTATTTATTATCGCATTTGACATTGACACTGAAAAGAAAATCTCTTATCAACTATGCAACACTCTTCGCTTCACAACACGCTGTGTGCAATCACACCGCGAGTACACTCTGATAATTTACAATTGCATTCGATGCAAAGCACTTTGATTGCCGCGCTAAGGTCAGCCTGCACTGCAAGCTACAGGCTGTTGTAACAATTTCGATTATTTCCAATGAAAATCAATTTGTAATAATGCAAAGCAATCAGTTTGAAAAATGCGCGCTTTCAAATCATACATTAGAACAAAGATGTGCGAGTATATATATGTACATACATACATACTTAGTATAATATATGGAAACATTTGTAATATTTTATACTACAGCCTTATATGGCCGCAAATTTGTTGTCGGATTTATGATGGGAGATGGACTCCATCACAGAG